GTAGCACCCAAACGCGAATTAAGGCAAGCAAAGTGTGAAAATAGGCAAAGCAGCCGATCAAGAATATGGCAGCTAAATCGATTAGTGGTTATAAAGATAGAGCTGAACAACAGTGCAAAGGCGTCTCTGCCTTTAAGTCTTTACAAATGCCTACCTTCACCTGTGATCATGAGTGCTGGATGCTGAAAAAAGGGTTTCATATGCGACACAAGCAGAAGAAATGAAGCTTTTCGAAGATCTACTAGGGTGACGGAACTCCACAAAATCAGGAACACAGTAGCTGGAAATACTCTCTATTTGGACTGCTCCGTTTCTAAGCCAAGAGACCACAAATGCAATGGTGTTTGGGCATGTAATGACGATGCCACAGAAAAACTCCTCAAGCGCATTCTGCTAAAAATCATGGACAAGGCCGCAGAGAAGCATATCGTGGATGACATGGCTAGCTTATACAGAAGCCCTACCGCTTTCGATCACCTTACCACTGGAATCCAGAGCCGATTCTCAGAAGACTAGTACAGTTCTGAAGCTACTGTCACTGCATACCGAAAAAGAAAAACGTTTTACAAACCATCGAATGGACCCCAACAAAAATGAGTTCTAATGGCGGAACTACGTTCATAAGCATCATTCCACTGCTTCAGTTCTTTAAGCTGCTCGTGCATAATTGTCCGTTTCATACATGAGTTAGGGAGCGATGGTGAAACGAACAGGCTGCACTGACAGCTTTGTCATAAACGCATAAGAAGATTGTCTATCTACCACTGTCCTGTTAGGTTTATGAGAGACCTTCACTTTGCCCGGGAGTGCGAAGTGCTACTGTTATAGCTATTTACTCTCCAAAGATATAGCCGGAACGCTGGATTTACAGACAAAGCAAAGGCTGTACATGCGAGAAAGGAGAACGAGTCTGAGTTTCTCTGCCTGAAAAACAATCACAAGAACTGTTACCTTCAGCGAACTATGAAGCCGTAAATGGTATACTGAGTCATAGTGCAATGATATTCGAAGAGAACAGTGCGAAAGAAATGACTCTTTCAGCATTTCTTATGCACTGAAGAAGTCTAACAAAATATCAGTAGTGGATACCAAATTCTACAGCAGAAGATGAAACAACCGAATTTGAAACTGAGCTTAATCGTATACCAGGGTTTGCAACTCAAACTATGCAGGCCAACATAAAACCAAAATATATTTAAATATAATACTGAATAAAGTACATGATTCCTTTATGGGGGAGGGGATATGATGCTTTTGTAAGTCACAAGCAGGAAGACAACGCATAAAATCTTCTTTAAGTAGGGATATCTGGTAGCCCCAATTAAATATGATATAGATTAGCAATACAGAAAATTATTCTTAAAATGTGACAGTACCTGCAAGACAAACATCGTAGAATATCCTTCAGGAGCCTCGTATTCCTCGTTTAACCGCAACACTGTAAACGATCTTCAAGGATTATATGTAGAAATTATAAACTTTTTACAGAATAACACCACATGTTGAAATTTTGACAAACACCCTGCAACATTTCGCGCCATACTCCATCAACATACATGCCGTAAAACTAATTAATAACTGTTAATAAGTCAGTCAGTTTCGATGACTATTTAATCTTCTCTGTTGCGGAAACAGATGAGTCAAACAGTGTCTTTGATATGCCGATCCTCTCCAGCGTTTCATCTTCGGAACATGATAACCAGAGTTCTGAGCAGAGTGTATCGAGACCCTTGCCCCAGATCATTTTTGGCCTGCACGAAGTCTTCAGCTAGTCAATTTGGTAATGACTATCTCCTTCGTTTTCTTTTCTGACAGCATTGACAAGACGTGCCCAAACTATTGAAGCTTTGAGGTCACAATCTGGAGAATCAGTGCTGTATAGCAAGATTCTCTCTGATATCTGCATTTCGGGTCATGCCGAAACGCGTAACGCTAGTTATTTTTCTCAGAAAGAACATATCGGACACCTTGATATGAATGGGGAGCCTTCCAGTTATGACCCACGACTCATGATCGTAGGTAAGGATCGGGATTAAATTCCACTTAATCACAAGGAGGTTAATTTTCACGCCCAGCTCTGTTTTAGTAGCATCTGTTCCAGCAAAGTTTCTGCACAACGCCGCTGTCTATTGTAATTCGCATTGCGATCTCTTGCTCCCATTTTCCATAACCAGTAAACATGACACAGAAGTACGTGAACGTCTCCATTTGTTCCGCTCTTTCTACGTCTATCATCAGGGAACAACTAGCATGAGAACGAAAAAACAATAGGCTTTTCGTTTACGACACGTTTCCACGCATTCTGACAACGTCGCACTGAGCTGCGAACCTTTTCAGAGAGCGCTGGAAATCAGTTTCAGAAGTTCCCTATAAAATGAGATCTCAGCAAGCAGCAGCCTTCACATCTTCACATTTCCTACGCGTGTACGTCCGTCCCTCTAACCGCGCCTGACAATTTTATCAGCAAATAGCACAACCAGAACAAGGGACAACCTTGACGGCGATCACTGCCAGTGCTGACATGTCTAAATGTTGACTTAACGCTTGCAGCTTAACGCCATTTGCTCTGACTCAGCATCTGATATTTGCAATAATTGAATGGCTCATACCAACTGACCATCGATCCCATATGTGTGACGGCTGTTGCGCGGAATCCCGTCAAAGACTTTCTACAGGTCAACAAATCACATGTAAAACGCATATGCAAACTTACAGAAAATTTTAAGGTGCCATGAGATACTTGATCACACA